GGAAGGTGCCCCATCGCCCGGGGTTCAGTCTCTCACACCCTCTAGTGCAGTGGTTCTCAACCTTCTGGCCCTTTCAATACAGTTCCTCACGTGGTGACCCCCAACCATACAATTATTTTCGTTGCTACTTCATAACTGTAATGTTGCTACTGCTCTGAATCGTCATGTAAATATCTGATATGCAGGATGGTCTTAGGCGACCCCTGTGAAAGGGTTGTTCGACCGCCAAAGGGGTCGCGGCCCACAGGTTGAGAACCACTGCTCTAGTGGGCGAGGGGCCTTCCTAGAGCCTGCGTTGCAACTGCCGGGTTTTGTTTATTTCAGTTTGTTTCCCCTTTTGGGGAAGGTACTGAGGTCCTCCCTGCGGGAGGTGCTGCCTCCTGGGCCCAGGTGCGGGCCCCCCGCCCCCCGAAACGCAGCTCCATGCTCTGCGGCTCCGAGTCTCGGAAGAGACGACCTGAAACCCCTCCTCGTTCACCCCATCGGGGAGACGCGCCCACAGCCACGCCTGCGTCTGCTCCGCGGCGGCTGGAGGCTCTGATGAGGGCCTCTGGGGCTCCCTTTCCAGGTGGCAAACATCCTGCTGAACGGCGTGAAGTACGAGAGCGAGCTGCCAGGCCCCAGCGAGCCGGCGGGGCCGCCCCTGTCCATGAGGCACCTCTGCTCCGCCATCTGCCACATGCCCCGGGCGCTGCGCAGCCTGTGCGTCAACCACTTCCTGGGTGAGCTCGGGGCACAGCCCCCTCCGCGCCCCGGTGCGTCCCTGTCCCGGCGGGGGTCACGCTGTGTGGGGGCCCAGGGATGCCTTCCAGGACCCCCGTGTTCACTTAGCTCCCAGATACCACGGGGCAGACGTGGCGTGGGACTGCCCGGCGGGCTCCTCCCTGGGAAGCCAGAGAGATGCCACCGTAGGCAGCCACGGGCGAACCCAGGTGAGCAGCCCAGAGGGACCCTGGGTCCCCGCAGCCCAAACCTCATTCCCAGACTCTTCAGGCGGCTCATGGTTTAGTGACATGTCACTGTCCCGCCTGTGAGGCTGGTGGGCCTCACCTTGAGCCGGGACAGACACATAGGCATCCACACACAGACACACAGACACATGGACAGTCACACACAGACACACGGACACACGGACATCCACACACAGACACACGGGCATCCACACAAAGACACCCACACACAGACACATGGACAGTCACACACAGACACACGGACACACGGACACCCACACACAGACACACAGACACACAGACACCCACACACAGACACACGGACACCCACACACAGACACACAGACACACAGACACCCACACACAGACACACGGACACCCACACACAGACACACAGACACACAGACACCCACACACAGACACACGGACACCCACACACAGACACACAGACACACAGACACCCACACACAGACACACGGACACCCACACACAGACACACAGACACACAGACACCCACACACAGACACACGGACACCCACACACAGACACACAGACATCCACACGCAGACACACAGACACACGGGCATCCACACACAGACACACGGACACACGGACACCCACACACAGACACGCGGACACCCACACACAGATACGCGGACACCCACACACAGACACATGGACATCCACACGCAGACACACGGACATCCACACACAGACACACAGACAACTACACACAGACACCCACACACAGACACACAGACACACGGACACCCACACACAGACACACGGACATCCACACACAGACACACAGACATCCACACACAGACACACGGACACACGGACACCCACACACAGACACGCGGACACCCACACACAGACACCCACACACACAAACACACGGACATACACAGACACATGGACATCTACACACAGACACACAGACATCCACACACAGAGAGACAGACACCCACACACAGACACCCACACACAGACACACGGACACCCACACGTGCCCACATACGTCCAGGGCTGGCCTCGCGCTCACAGGCCTGGCATTCGAGTTCCTCCGGCAAAGCCCATGTGTGCGCGGTGGGGCTGCTGGAGCATCCGTGGAAGCCAGGCCCCGAGCTGTGGGTGTCGATCAGAGTGACCTTCTAGGAGGCAAGAATGTGTAAAGTGCCCGTATGTCTGTGCCAGTCATCCTGTGTGGAGTCTTTGAAGGACGTAATCAGAGGTTTCATCCAGAATATATACACAAGGTCTTTACGAGGTGAGATTTCTCACGGCCACAGCTGGAGTGGGAAGGTCTGCACCTGCAGCCTGGGCGAGGGCTGAAGACATGCTGGCTCCACACTGTGGGTACTCGGCTGCCGCCACACAGGCCTTCCAAATCCTAATGGCACAGAAGTCATGCCTGGTCATTATTAGGGTCAAGAGGGCCAATATATGCCACCCCCGCCCGCACCACAGAGAGGCTGACGGGGATTCGGAGGGCGGGGTCACTACGGGTTAATGGGCGCTAAAGCAGATGGGTCTGTAGCGACATCCGTGCGGCCTCACGTGTCCTCTCGGTTAAACGCCACCTGCCGCACCCGGGCTGGAGCCTCCCGGCGTTTTCTTGTCGTAGAGGGAGGAGGAGGGGGCTCAGCCTTCCTCACCGCAACACTGTTCAGAGAGAGAACAGGATACACACCCTCATGCAACACGGCCCAGTGTACACGCATATGTATTTGCTTAAAAAAAACCATCAGCGGGGCTCCTACACAACCGCATCGGAGGGAAGGAGAGGTGGTGCCTCCTTTAAGTCTTGAGTCTGCGTGTTTCCTTGAGAATCAGGCAAACACGCTGTTGGCGACAGGGGCCTCGTCCACATCTGTGCCGTGGGTCACGGTCACAGCCCTCACCCCCACCCCCCAGGCTGGCTGTCCTTCGAGGGGATGCTGCTCTTCTACACGGACTTCATGGGCGAGGTGGTGTTTCAGGGGGACCCCAAGGCCCCGCGCACGTCGGAGGAGTATCAGAAGTACAACAGCGGCGTCACCATGGGCTGCTGGGGGATGTGCATCTATGCCTTCAGCGCCGCCTTCTACTCAGGTGCGTGCCGCGGGCAAGACGCCGGGTGACCCTTCGCGGGAGGTTCGATGGCCTTGGTTCTGATGGCCTTGGGTCCGATGGTCTTGGGTCCGATGGCCTTGGTTCTGATGGCCTTGGGTCCGATGGCCTTGGTTCTGATGGCCTTGGGTCCGATGGCCTTGGGTCCGATGGTCTTGGGTCCGATGGCCTTGGGTCCGATGGCCTTGGTTCTGATGGTCTTCGGTCCGATGGCCTTGGGTCCGATGGCCTTGGGTCCGATGGCCGTGGGTCGGCGGTTGGAGTACACGGATTGAAGGCAGGTGTGTGTCTTTACGACAACGGGCAGGCGATCCCAGCGCCGTCTCCTTTCATTCAACAACCTGTCGGGCAGCTCAGGACCTGCCATCTGTCTGGCCCCATGAAGCTGTCAGGGGTCCCTTGGCCGCCTGGTCGGGGCAGGCTGCTTGCCACGCGTGCTCACGCCCCTGCCAGCCTCGGGTCAGCAGGAGGCGGGACACGAGCCTCACCCGCTGTCGCCCGCAGCGATCCTGGAGAAGCTGGAGGAGCGCCTCAGCATCCGCACGCTCTACTTCCTGGCCTACCTGGCCTTCGGCCTGGGCACCGGGCTGGCCACCCTGTCCCGGAACCTCTACGTGGTCCTGTCCCTGTGCGTGACCTACGGGATCCTGTTCTCCACGCTGTGCACGCTGCCCTACTCGCTGCTGTGTGACTATTACCACAGCCAGGAGGTAGGTGCCGGCTCCGGCTCCGGCCTCTGCGCCTGCCCCTCCTGCCTGCCCCCCCGCCCCGTGGCTCGGAGAGCCTCCCCCGGAAACGGCCCCCCATGCAGTCTGAGGCTGGTGCACAGGGAAATGCAGGGCCCCCTTCAAACATCAGGCGGGGACAGCATTGGGGGGGGGGTGGTATGGGCAGGTGGGAGCTGGGAGGCTGGAAGGGGAGGTCCACCCAGTGTCCCCGCCAGGCTTCAGGGTCACCTGTGAGCACAGGGCCAGGTGAGGCGGGTGAGGCACTCACCTTAGGCACAAAAACCCAGCCGTCAAGATCAATGCTATGTCCACGCAGTGTTTCTAAAAACAAGAATCAATGCCCCAAATCCACACTGAACGGAACAGCAGAACTTTCATGGCCAAGAGCAGGACCCCGTGCCCGCCAGGTGGGAGCACGGCCCCTCTTTATAGGAAAGTCTGGGTTTCCCTTTAACCGCTTCACCTGCGAGTGCACAGTGCAGGGCGGTCACCGAACAGGGCGGGCAGAGGTGGGCTTAGCTTCCAGTTGTCCGTAAGGAAAATACCCCAACAATTAATAAATAACAATAACCACAC